CACACGCCGCCTTCGCCTCCGGTTCCTGTTCTGGACCCGGCTGTGGGGCGAGTTTCTCGCTCCAACGTTTCCCCTCCGATACCGGTTTCCCGATCGGTTTCCGTTTCCCCCACGGTTTCTGGTGCATTTAGTTCATTACGAGTCGCTGCGGCTCTGCTGGGCACAGGGAGCCCAGGGTTCGGCCCAGCCCTGAGATCTGGGAAGGAAGAAAAGTTGTTCGAGGACAGTTGTAAAGACAAATCTTCAGAAGTGAACTTGTTCCTTGCAGAACCAAGACAGAAAAACCCCTTGAGAAGAAGGGGGTTGGTGGTGGGACTGAATGAAATACCCTGAGGTGGTTTAGGAAGTGAAATAAACCAGATAGAACAGGGGGAAGGGGCTGTCCCTGGCCAAAGGAGAACCCTCCCCACTGACCTGTTCACTTCAGCTGCTGTTCGAGTTGTTCAGGTGGTTGGAGGATTGAAGATCTTCAGCTGGGATTGAGGATTCCCAGCTCTGTGCTGAAGATCCTCAGACTTTGTGGAGGCCAGAAGGGTTGTTGTGGGGTTTTTAGACTGAGTTTAGTGGCACACGAGTAGCCTCTGTGTACAGAGAGAAACTCTGAGAGTACCTTTATCTCTGATCATCTTCTGAGCAGCTGCTGCTCTGCTTCTGCTGTCTGAGGAAGAATCAAGCAGTGATGTTGCTCTTCATCCTTAAACCTGCTTGTCTTGGGGTCAGGGGGGGACTGTTCATCTCCAGAGCTTTTCCATTTGGTGATATTGCTGAATTATATGCCCTGAATTTTGGTTCTCTCAATCATCTTTCTCCCTCGTTTATGAACAGTTTAAAATGATCCTTTTATTCCACTTGACTGAGGGGTCATTTTTAACAGCTCTGCTCATTTCCCCCCAAAAAATTATCTTTATGTGCCATTAAAACACTGCTCTGTCTGTTCACCCATCTGCCCCAGGGAAAGAAAAAATATATTGGGGGACATGAATCACATCAGAACTGCTGCTGAGTGAACTGAGTGTACGTGTAGGACCTGAAACCAGCGTGTGTGGAGTTAGCACAGGCACGTACAGCGCTGCCAGACCTCAGCTGGTGTCCTGCAGAGTGGTGTAAACCCAGCTGGTGAGAGTCAGAGCACAAAACCTGAAGGAAACAGGACTGTGAAGAGGAGTGGCAGCACGGGGAGGAGGGAGCAGGATGTACTTGTTATGGTAATGAGCGTCGTCAGGACGTGTCCTTGTTGCAGTGAAGTGACTTGTTGAGCTGTAAACGGAGCCTGACGTGTCCCCGGGTCAGTGTGTGTCCCCGGGTCAGTGTGCTGCTCATGTTTGTGCCTCAGATTGTTCCTGGAACTGCTGCAGGAAGTTGTGTTGGAGTCACAGAATCACACAGGATGTCAGGGATTGGAAGGGACCTCAGAAGATCATCCAGTCCAACCCCCTGCCAGAGCAGGAACCTCAATGAGATCACACAGGATCACATCCAGGCGGGTCTTGAATGTCTCCAGAGAAGGAGACTCCACACCCTCCCTGGACTGGCTTTTATCAGTCCTCTGATAAAATCTACTTCTCAGCAAACCATTCCTCTCAGCTGAAACAAAATGTCACTGCAATTTCACTGAGATAATTTATTTTTTAACTAATTGGAGTTGGCCACAGTTGTCATTTACCCAACAGACTTCCACTTGTATTCTCTTTATTTTAAACTGGCTGTTTCAGCAAGTTGGGTGTGGGGGTTTTTTTTTGTTTTGCTTAACTTTAAAAGTAGCCCAACTGTAAATAAAGCTCTAAAAAAAAAACCCCACAAAACCAGACTGAGAGTATTTGTTCTGTGGTGTTTCACCCCAGCAAGGGCAGGGCAGGGATTTCCCAGGACTCAACAACGTGGCTGTTATTTCACAGAATGCTTTTCTGCAGGTTCTGAGTGTTTCTGGATTTACAGGGGTTCCTGTTAGAACTGGAAGACTCTTCCTGTGGTTGTGTCCCAGCCTCTCTGAGCTGCTCTGGGTGACTTCAGCTGTTCCAGGAACGTTGCTGCTGCCCCAGCACTTCCCAAACTGGGAGCATGTGCTGGAGCAGGCGGGGCTGGGTGAACTGCTGAAGGTGGCTGTAGTATCATCAACGTGAGACCCGAGTGCCTGAGGGTCAGCAGGAGGGACTGGGAGTGAGAGGCTCCCCTGGAAGCAGCAGGAGGGACTGGGAGTGAGAGGCTCCCCTGGAAGCAGCTGGAGGGACTGGGAGTGAGAGGCTCCCCTGGAAGCAGCAGGAGGGACTGGGAGTGAGAGGCTCCCCTGGAAGCCGTGTGTGGAGCAGGTATAACTCGGGAAGCCACGCTGTGGTTTGTTTCCTGCTTTCCTGGTAGTTCAGGAAAGACGAGTCAGTGGTTTCCCAGTCACACTCTGAGTGATGAGTCACTTGGACTGTAGGTTCCTGTGTGATCTCCTAGCAGGAGAGAGGAGGGAGCTGAGTGCAGGACGTTTGCTGCAGAGGGGTTGGAGTTATTGACTCTCAGCACAGCTCTGGCAGCAAAACAAACCAGAAGGAGTTTCCTAATCTGGTTACACTCCAAAGGCCGGGCTGGTCCAACCCACCTTCCTCTGGAAGCTGATAAGGAGCAGTCCCAGCAGCTCTGATAACAGTTGAGGGGGTGCTGAGGGGCAGCTGGGGCTGACACAAAGCTCTGCAAGCCTTCCCCAAGCTCCAGGCTGTGGCCAGTCCCCTCCCAAGCAGGGTGTGAGCCGAGGAGTTTCCCTGGAGCCCCCGAGCGCTCGGGCTGATGTGTGCGTTGCCTGCAGGTTGTCTTCGGCCGGAAGCTGACGTCCTTCTCAGCAATAGCACTTAACAAGTTGCAGCACGAGAAGAAATATGACATTTATTTTACGGATGGAGATGTTTATGCACTGTACAGGTGAGTGCTGGGACCCTTCCTGGAACACATCCCTGGAGGAGGATGCTCTTGTCTGCCTGAGGTGGCGGGAGCCGCGTGCCGGGGAACAGCGGGGTGGGTTTGTTCCACGGGGATGTCACTCACTCTGGGTCACAGCTGAATCACTGTTGTCATTGTATTTATTGCTGTGCTGAGCCTGAGGAATCATCAAAACCAATGGGACCAAACATGTGAGAAGAAGAGCAACCTTCTGTGCCTGCAGAGAGCTTCATTGTAAACGGGGGAGGAAAAGGGTGAAGTAAAAAACCAATGTGGAGTGAAAAATCTGCCAGCAGAGTAGTTTTAATAATGTGAAATATTTTCATTGGGTTTTTTTCATAATTAATTGGAAAGCTTTCAGAGAATTAAAAGCAGCTAAAAGGAAAGAAGAGTGAAAAAAAGATTAAACCATGTGGGAATGGTACCTTTTTCATGGAGCATTTTATCCAGCCTGATGGGAGCTAAGGGTGTAGCTTTGCTGGTATACTGACAGTTCTGTGTGACTCTGTATTTATGGAACTGGGCAATGGGTTTAGTGAGCAGAATCAGTTGGAAATGTGTTCTGGTGAATTACACACCAGCTCTGGGAATGCCTTTGGTGACAGATCTCTGGAGAGCTGCTGAGATCACAGTTCTGTGGGCAGCAATCGGGTGTGAGAGAGCGGGGTCTCCCACTGAGCCCAGTGCTCTGTCTGCAGCTCTTGTTGGGAGTCACTGTGGGGTTTCTGTTGGGTTTTTTTTTCCCCTCTCTTTTTTTGGTACCATTCTTTCTCTCTCACCATTGTGTTCTTCAGTTTCTGACAGTAGAAAGTGCAATTAAATTGGATGTGAATGTTGCATGGATCAGCTGAATCTGCAGCGAGCAGAGGGTTCATTGCCTGGCCGTGTTACAGTCCACTCAGGATTTTCTAGTGGCAGCGTGTTACTCACACTGTGACTGTTCAGCTCTTCTCTTGCAACTGAAACCTCTGGGTGATTTGGTTCCTGTTCTGTTCCAAGTGTTTTTGGAATAAGCAGGACTCACCTCTCAGATTGCTGGGGAGCCACAAAAACGCCGCCTTCTGCCGCCAGCCCAACCTTTGTTTTTCCATACAGGGATGGGGTTGCTGAGAGGCAATCAGAGAATCTTTAGGCAATCTTTGTTGTCCCTTAGGAAGCTGCTGCAGCATGAATGCTCTTTGTGTCCGGATGCCAAGCCATTCAACACCTTTGCAGATCTGGAACAGCACATGAGGAAGCAGCATGAACTCTTCTGTTGCAAACTCTGTGTGAAACACTTAAAGGTGAGCTGGGTCTGTGTTTCAGTGTGTGGGAAGGAGGGCTCCTTCCTTACATGACCTGCAAGAGTCCTTGGGGATAGTAGAACTTGTTGGCTTTTAATTTCAGAATCCTGCAGAGATTTTTATTTCACAGAAAAAAAAAAAAGTTCCATATTACTAGTAGCTACTGAAAAGAAGTTCTTCAGCTCGCAGGAGCTTCAGTCCATCCAGCCTAGCTAAGCCAAACGAGCCTGTTCCCAGAACAAGGTAACACTCCTTGTCTGGGTGAGAAACAGGATATTCTGTTCTCAGGGCTTTGTTGGTCTTTTTTGGCATCTTCAGAACCCTTCCTACCAAAATAGCTCGTGTGTTAGGGACAGGAGATGGGCTTACAACACAATTTCCTCACTGATCTGTGTCCTTGGTGTGTAGCCATCTTGGGGTGGCTGCTGTCTGAGGAGAGTCAACCAGCTCACTTCCAGTTTCTGGGGTTTTTAGTTTGAATATGTGTCCTGGTTTTGCTAGGATAGAGTTAACAAACCACCACAATATGCAAAATACTGTGTGTTCATAAATACATAGTTAGGATTTTTTAAATGTAAAGTTTGTTACGTTATATTAATGCACAAAAAAAGAAGTGAAAAGGGAAAAAGGTGAATTAGATCTATATCCAGTCTTCAGACTGAGTGAAATGCAAGTTACATCTCATTTGGATCTGTCACTTGAACTTTGTTTCCTATTCGCTGAAAATTTCAGGTGTAGGTTGTCAAATTGCATCTTCTAAAGCAAATCTGCCACTCCTACAGATGAACCAGTGTGCACAACCTGGCTTATCCCACTGTGTCCTGTGTTCACAAGAATCATAGAACCACAGACTGGGTTGGGTTGGGAGGGACCTTAAAGCTCACCCAGTCCCAACCCCCCTGCCAGCAGCAGGGACCCCTTCCACTAGACCAGGTTGCTCAAAGCCTCATCCAACCTGGCCTTCAACACTTCCAGGGAGGAGCAGCCACAGCTTCTCTGGACAACCTGGGACACTGTCTCACCACCCTCACAGTGAAGAACTTCTTCCTAATATCTCATCTAAACCTCCCCTCTTTCAGCTTAAACCCATTTCCCCTTGTTTTGTCATTAACTGCCCTTATGAAAAGTCCCTCCCCAGCTTTCTTGTAGGCCCCCTTCAGGTACTGGGAGGCCACTAGAAGGTCTCCCTGGAGCCTTCTCTTCTCCAGGCTGAACAGCCCCAACTCTCTCAGCCTGTCCTCACAGCAGAGCTGCTCCAGCCCTCGGATCATCCTGGTGGCCTCCTCTGGACTTGTTCTAACTGGTCCATGTCTTTCTTGTGATGGGGGCTCCAGAACTGGACACAGTATTCCAGGTGGGGCCTTACAAGAGCGGAGCAGAGGGGCAGAATCCCCTCCCTCCACCTGCTGCCCACGCTGCTCTGGGTGCAGCCCAGGACACGGTTATTGGCCTCTGTGCTGCCAGCGCACGTTGTCTGCTCGTGTTCAGCTTCTCACTCAAGAAGTAACACGTGTATTTATGCTTCTCCAGATTTTCACTTACGAGAGGAAGTGGTATTCTCGTAAGGACCTGGCCCGTCACCGAATCCACGGGGACCCAGATGACACCTCTCACCGTGGGCACCCCCTGTGCAAATTCTGCGACGAGCGTTATTTGGATAACGACGAGTTACTGAAGCACCTCCGGCGGGATCATTATTTTTGTCACTTCTGTGACTCTGACGGTGCTCAGGAATACTACAGGTTTGTGCAAGCAGGTTTTTTTTTTTCCCCTTTTTCTGTTGCTTAAATTCTGAGGAAAAATCACTTGGGTCTGCTTTTGAATTTGGATTTTGGGTCTCCTTTGGGAAGATGGTGGTTGAAGACAGAGGGCAAGAATGTGAGCAGGTTGGCTGCAGTCTCTCTTGCTCCTCAAACCAATAACCAAAGTAATCACTTTCTGTCTAGTCCATGTTTTAAAGTTTTCTACCTGAAAAGTTCCATTTTGCAGCATGATGTCTGCACCTTCCTAGTGTGTTAATGCTCCAAAGTTCATGTGGGAAGCAGACAGAAGGAAATTCTCTTTGTGAGAGACGTGCCTGATGTCCAGCTGGATGTGATGAGATTTAGTTTAACGTCTGGGATTGTGCATCAAGATCTGTGTTGACTGCACACAAGTGGTTTCAGCTGGAAAGCTTGTCAGGGGACAAAGAAAGAACCAACCTTCTAGGATTGTCCTCATCTTGTAAGAGGAACCACACACCATTAGTCAAACAGGTTGGGAAGGTGGCAGCTCGAGTCTCTCTTCTCTTCCCAGTGATTACGAGTACCTCCGGGAGCACTTCCGCGAGAAGCATTTCCTCTGCGAGGAGGGCCGGTGCAGCACGGAGCAGTTCACCCACGCCTTCCGCACCGAAATCGACTATAAAGCCCACAAAACAGCCTGTCACAGCAAGAACAGGGCAGAGGCCAGGCAGAACCGCCAGATAGACCTGCAGTTTAACTATGCTCCCAGGCACCAGAGGAGGAGTGAGGGTGAGTGTGGCTGGGGATGAGGTGGACAGAAGCCTATTCGTTCTTACTGCTTGGGGGGTTTTCCAGAACATCTGGTGAACGATTCCTAGTCGGGAAGAAATTCTTTACAAAGAGGGTGGGCAAATCCTAGAGCAGGACCCTGAGAGGTTGTGGAGTTGTTGGTCTGTTCAACCAAGGAACAAGTGACAGGACAAGAGGAAATGGGCTCCAGTTGTGCCCAGGGCAGTTGAGATGGGATGTGAGGAAGAATTTCTTTGCTGCAAGGGTTCTGAGGCATTGGAAAGGGTTGCCCAGGGCAGTGGTGGAGTCCCCATCCCTGGAGGGATTGAAGAGTCGTGTAGACACAGTGCTGAGGGACATGGGTTAGTCGGGGACTGGTCAGTGTTGGGTTCATGGTTGGACTTGATGATCTTCAAGGGCTTTTCCAATCCAGGCAGTTCTGGGATCCTGTTTGTCCTTGAAGATAACCAGAACTTGGCCAGACAGGGCCCTGGGCAACCTGATGTAGTTTCTGAGCTGGCCTTGATTTGAGTGAGGGGATGGAGCAGATGACATCCAGAGGTCTCTTCCTACCTGGGATGACAACATGATTTCAGGAAAATTGCTGACTTCTCCAGTTTGTACTGAAGTGCACAATTTGCATGACAGCTACTCCAAAGCAGTGCTGAACGTGGAGCTTGAGACCAGAGTCGCACCTCCACTGAGGAGTGCAGAGAGCGACACACACACACACGAACTTTTCTTCTGTGTGGAGCTGTATGTAGAGATCTCTGCATAAAACCAGAATTACTCAAAACTCCCATCACAGGTTACAATACATGCACTGCAAAATGTATTTTACTGTAACAATCCTGAAGGCCATCTCGACTGCTTAATCATCAGAAAGAAATCAGGAGAGTTTTGTTTGTCCTAGTGTATTTTTGCTTTTTTCAGGCATGGGGTGATGCCCAGATTAGAGAAATAACTTTGAGAGTGACCAGCCATCCCTCCTGTTTAGGTGTTATAGGTGGAGAGGACTATGAGGAGGTTGACAGGTACAACAGGCAAGGGAGGTCAGGCAGACTGGGCGGCCGAGGAAGTCAGCAGAACAGAAGAGGCAGCTGGAGGTACAAGAGGTGAGTAGCACAACATTTTGTGGGTTTTTATTGCTGCTTAGTGTGGTTTTTTATTTACCAATTAACAATGTTTTGGTGGACTAGTAGGAAGGAAGTGGGTACAAAATTTGGAAGCCTCCAGACTGAATCCTTGAAGGTAGAACTAGTTTCCAGACTAAGCCTGTGTGCTGACTACATGCTTGGTTAAAGTGAAGTCATTCTGTGTGAAGTTCCAGCTCTGGAGCTGACACGGGAAGCAAACAATGTCATCTGCAACTTGTGGCTTAAATACTCAGAATCCTGAATTAATTTCAGCAACTGTTTTTGTGCTAACTTCTCTAAATAGGGTGTTCTGAAGTAAGTGACAAGTGTTTGCAGGTTTAATGGACTGTTTGGTCTGGGTAATCGTGAAGTTGCTGTTCTAAGGACCATGCTTTTCATTGAACTAACAGATCTCTGTGTGGCCAGACTGAGTGCTTTGGAAAAAGAAGAGGGTTAAGTATTGAAATGAAATTTTGCATTTCTATGTCTCCCCATCCACACGAGGCCCGAGTGCTTTCTACATCCTGCACATCTATTTTTCTTTTTTTTTTTTTTTTTCTGCTGGATGGTCAACTGGTTCATTACTGGTGATTTCACTGGGGGAAAAAGTCCATCTCTATAAACACTTTGATGTTGGTGTCGCATGTGGATTGTGCATGTGTTGAGAGTTCATGACAAACCATGTTTCAAAGAATTACTGTGGCCTACAACTATGATTCCATACGTTTGAAGATGAATGGGAGAGACATGTGTCCCCATGCATCCTTGGTACTGTCTCTCCCAGTTCACCCCAGTTTCTTCTGGCCTGGATTGTTATTACCACGTGTAGAACTCACAAATCCAGGGGTGAACGTTGCCTGTTTCACTACCTGGTGCCAGGGTATGTTGGAGAGGTTGGTTTCTTTAAACCTTCTCAGCAGGTGGCAGCACAAGATCAGGGACAGTCATCGGAGGTGACACCAGAGAGGTGAGAGCTGGAGCGAGACAAACCTGCTGGGTCACCTTTACTGTTTGACCAAGAAAATCTGCCTTGTCCTGTAGGGAGGAAGAAGACAGAGACGTTGCAGCGGCCGTCAGGGCATCTGTGGCAGCTAAACGGCAAGAGGAGAAAAAACGGGTAGAAGACAAAGAGGACAACAGCAGTAGAGGTAAAAAGGAGGACTTGAGGGATTCTGAAGTGCTCGGCTCCAAACGTGTGCCAAAGTCTTCAGCTGATGCTACAGGTTAGTGTTGAACACGTTCTGCAGCTGCTGGGAGGTGTGATGGGTCTGGAGATCAGCCTGGCAAAAGTGGGAATCGCCACACGTTCCTCTCAGAAGCTGCTGATCTCTTCTCTCTGGCCACCAACACCAGGAGCAGAGGGAATGGCAGGAAGATGTGGCAGGGGAGGGTGAGGTTGGCCATGAGGAAAAGGTTCTTGAGGCAGAGGGTGGTGGAGCACTGGAACAGGCTCCCCAGGGAGGTGCTCATGGCACCAAACCTGACAAGATTCCAGCAGCATTTGGCCAAGGCCCTCAGGGACATGGTGTGAATGTTGGGATTGTCCTGTGCAGGGACAGGAGTTGGACTCCAGCATCCTGGTGGGTCCTGGATGATTCCAGCTCACAACATTTGATGATTCTATGGTAGAGCTGTGCAAAACCTGAATCCAGCAGCACGGATTTGCAGTGAGATGTGTCCCAGTGGGCTGGGACTCCTGCAGCAGGTTCCACTTGAAACGGAGCTGGGTAGAAACAGCAGATGGAAATAACGCAGGACAGTGTGTGTGAGGTTCCATCCCAACCAGTATAATCTGAGAACGTGCCATTTCCTGCTCCAGCATGCAAGGACTGATTTTTTTTGTGATGCTTGGGCTGATTTTTCCCCTTTTTTGAGAACAAGTGATTCCCAGTAAAGGTTTATAACTGGTGAAAGCAACCTTTTAATTGTTTTGAACCACATCCAGTTTGGGGCAAATAAATATGATGCAGTGATATTTTGATATGACTGTTGCTCCAGCTCCATTTTCCACTGTTTATTGCTCCTGCAGCAGGATTCTCAGAGGTTATATCTGGATTCTCAGAGGTTATATCTGGATTCTCAGAGGTTATATCCCTTCATTTGAGCTGAGAGCTGCTGAGAGCTCCGTTTGGTTCATGGGTACAGCCCCGTTGGGGTGAGAGGGAGGGTTCTCTCCCTCAGCCCAGCTGCCTGCCCAGCTTTTGCTGCACGCCTGTCAGAGCTGTTATCAATCTGCCCCTGAACTGCTGCAGTCTGCAGCACAGGATTTGGATTTTAAGGCAAATCTAAATGAGGAAGGAGTTATGTTCCAATGTAAAATGACTGCTCGGGAGTTAATTGCTGAGCAGCTTGGGCATCTGCACAGCAGAGGTGTGAGGAACTGCTGGGAGGAGCAGCTTTCCCAGTGAAGAAGCATTGGCACACCTCAGCTGGAGCACTGAGGCTCTGGTGAGCAGGCAGTGGAGTGCTGACCTCTGGTAGAAGCGTGGAGCAGGCAGCTGGAGGTGTTGGCACCTCGGTCTCTAGAGGTTCCCTCACAAAGTGCCCGTCAACCAACGCTTTGCTCGTGTTCAGTGTCATGAATTTCCCGTGTGCGGTGACATAATGGTGAATGCAGTTAATTGAAGGAAACAGTGATGGATGGATTTAAATTGTTCTTTTGGAATGTCACAGTTAATGACATCATCAGCTGCTGAAAATAGGGCTTGTTAGTGCTGCTGTCAGGCTCGTTGATGGCCTCCTCCCTGAAATGAACAGATTGTAGCTGAAAACCTTTCTTTGCTCTTTTTGTTGATATCCCAAAAGAAGCAGCTGCTAATGGTGCTTTAAGCCAGGATGACTTCCCAGCAATCGGTTCCGCAGCAGGAGCTCTACCAGGGTAAGTTTGTGCAAGGCTGCAGTTATGAGAAGGAAGATTTAGAAGCTTCCTGGTGTTCTGGGTTTCTGGAGAAGATAATTCTGCAGTTCACTTAAATTATAAAGACTTCCCCTTCTGCCTTGAGCTGTGTCTGTCCTGGTCACCTGCATGAACAGCATCAGGTGTTGCTTCAGTTTGTGGCTTGATCATTTGGTGGCCCAGTTTCAGGGAAATTCTCAATATTCTCCATTCCAGCTATTTTTAACTTGATGGCTTATCTTGAAGGAGCCATACACTGTGAGCTTTTAAAGTCATCATCTCCTGAAATTGGTGATGACCAGAACAGTGTCTTTGCAGGATGTGGCAGCTCAAAGCCTGGGTGTACAGCAGCTTTGGTCAAGCTGAGGTGTCCTGAGCCAGTAGTGCTGACACAGTGAGGGTGGTGTGTGACCACCTTCTCTTGCACCCAGAGCAGCGTGGGCAGCAGGTCAAGGGAGGTGATTCTCCCCCTCTGCTCCGCTCTTGTAAGGCCCCACCTGGAATACTGCATCCAGTTCTGGAGCCCCCAACACAAGAGAGACCTGGAGCAGCT